ATGCATATCTTTGATTAGCATGCACTGAACATATTCAAATGTTCATTAAACTTACAAAGAAGTATGTTTATGATTTGGTTGTGGTGAATTTGAACAATCTTAAGAACCGCTCTGAAGACTGAGTTAAGAAAATAACACTTTTACGACCTGGAAAGTTAACAAAGGTAAATATTCAGTAGTTTGAGAGATATCTCTCTAGGACTGCATTCCTAACGAGCAGTAAAGTGACTTATTAACATTCAAGGTCATCATTATGCTATAAACTCATTTAGCACTTGGCAACTCAAGGGATCAGCTGAGGACAATAAAATGTGTTTCTAGGACTACCCAGACTTTCTATATAAATTGACTCGTATAAAAAGCATATTTCTAATAACTTGACATCACTTGGGTTTTTAATTCCTAAACAAATGATATTTACCTTGACAACAAAACTGGACAATGAGTGACCAATGATGAGACATCCTGTTTTGATGAGTAATAAAACTGAGTAGCGGACATGAATCAATTTTCATTTGCAACCATAATATGAATGTAAAACTAGAAATGTACTTTTAGTTTACTTTTAGTTCGGCCTTATCTTCTACGACTCAGATCCAGATGTCTTGGTTTTGAGTGTTAACCTCTGCCAAGTATTGATCCTATTCCTGTGTTAAGTTAATAAGCTCACTCAGAAGACGATACTGGGAATCATTCTTCTGTGGCAACGTTAAGGGTGACTTTGCAAAAAAATAAATTAAAATAAACAATGAAATAAGTACATAAAAAATGCAATTTTACTGAATTTGTTATTTGTTTTTCTATGCAGCAAATGTATTTCCACTACTCTCACGTCAGCTCTGTTTGAGTCATTGCTGCATGCTGCTGCTATTTGTTGTCATGGCAGTTTCTCCTTTCATTGCTCTCACTGAATAAAGCTGACAACAGACAAAGATGAACTCCAGTGTTACACAAAACATAAACTGAGTGAAAGAAGACATCTCACTTGACCAGAGTGAGCAGTTGAGTAAAAAAAATTAAGAAGAATAAACAAGTAAAAATACCTCAAAAGTGCTAACCCTTAAGCTGTGAAGAAGCTATTAGAGCCTTCCACGCTGTGTTAGCTTTCTCACCACTAGTGAGAACATGCATAGTAAAGTTAGAACAACATAAAAACTGACACGGGGACCACTCAGCAGCAACACAAGTAAAAATCTAAAGAAGAAAATGCAAGAGTAAAACTTTTTTATTAAAAATTACAAAATGAAGCAGGAAATGACTTTGACAGTTTTTTCTTTGTTTGTTTGTTTGTTTTTTACATCAACCTGCCTTATAGTCTCATCTTCACATTTCTAAAAACTCTGTGTTGTTGTGCACATTTGCAATTACAGGCTGCTCTTTCTCTCTTTTATAAAACTATGACTACACTTGACAGGGTTTTGTTTTTTTTAGTAAATTACTGCTGCACACTCTGGGATACACTCTGCCACTAATTAACAGCTGTAGTCAGTGCATACGTAGTAACAATAAAGCACGTACTCTGTAGCCTAATTTAAAATGGCATATCGAAATGCTACAATTACCACAACTTCAGCTGAGAGGAAAAAGCTCACCACCGTCATCCAAAGAAGGACTTAAAAATAGACAGCAAGCAGAAGTACTGCAGTGTTTTTTGTTCATAAGAGAAAACAATCCACAGTCCTTAACTTATGTTTCCTGTTTTACTGAACAGAACGTAGTGTAAGTGCTGTGTGCTGTGCATTTGTCCAAGTCCAAATCAATGTTTTCAAATCACGCATCTTACAGTCAGCATTTGCATATATGTGTGAAGCATTTCCCCTTTGTTTTTTGTGCGAATGCACAGGTGAAAGTGTCTGACAGTGTGAACTGTGCATCTTTTTACTAACAGCATTAGCAGTCACATCATCACCAGTCTGTTGAAAGGCCGGTTAATCTACTTATTAACTGCAGTTCTGATGGTTTTACAGCATACGCAGGCTAGTATGTAATTACGGCGTGCTGACGGGTAAAGGTCCACAGCAGCTAAGTAACAACTGAGCACACAGCGGCTGTGGCTGGATATGATCAATTTTTCAGTGTCGAGGGTTTTTTTGCAGCTTTTGTAAAGTCTGCATGGGCACATGGTTGTTGTCTGAAACTGCAACACAATACGATATTTTAAAATGATGCTGAACTGACACAAGATAAATGGTGTTATTCATGCTTGGTCACTGACTGAGTTAGTTTACCCTTTTTTTCTGCTGGTGAATGTCAAAATGCCAATATAAAGTTGTATAAAGCCAATTTATATGAAAGTTTGAAGATATATATATATATATACACATTATTTTCATATTCAGGAGATTGTGTGAGTTCAGTGCAGTTTAGCTTATGTTTATCAAACTGATCAAAATCACTTAATTCACTTGTGGTAAAACAGAAGGCTTTGAAAATTGTATTAATTAAAAACAATTAAATTCCCAGTATATTAGCTTGTCTATACCCACAATGGCTAATTTTTGCAGGCCTGGCTGCTCTATCAACTCACTATCTAAACTCTTTATATAACATCATCATTATATTATATTATATGTTGCTCTCTATCCAAAGTAATGGCACATACAATTATAGCTATATGTAAATTAATATTTTAGAAAAGCTATTAACATTCAATTAAGCCAGTTCCTACAATAATAAAATCATCAAACAATAACAACCTATTACAATGATAAGTTCAGTAAGGGTATTATAATTAACAAAACAAAATTAAATGAAGATTGAAGTTAGAAACAAAATATATATATCAAGAAATATCCCTATATTATAATTGTTTTAAAAACAAAAAAAAATAAAAACTTTATTTAAAGCTAAACATTTTTCAAAAATAAAATCTAAATTGAAAGAAGCACATTAAACAGACAAGAAAGTAAAATTCTTAAATCCAATAAAATGATCTAATGGTAAAACTAAATAACTCTGTTCTGTTTAAAGGTTGTTCCTCCTCTGGGCTAAACAGGGTAAAAAGTGTGCTCTGCTGCACTAATAACACCTAATCACCTCATTAGGAGCCTGGCATATACTTACACATGACAGGGTGAGAAATTAAACATGGGAAGCCAGAAGAAAAACTCTTTTGACCTGATACAAAAGCACTTTTACTGATATAGTTCTGTTTTGTTTGGGTTTTTTAAAAAATATGTTTGTCATAAATGTATCATTTCATTTAAAACACACACACACACACACACACACACACACTTATTTTCTATGAACGCTGATTCAGAAAACAAC